TGTGTGTGTGTGTGTGTGTGTGTGAGGGAGGGAGGGAGAGAGGCTGCGCACACGTTTGTGACACCAGCGGACAAACTGAGCTCATGAACAGAAATAAGTAGCCCCAATTTCAGTAGATTATCCCGAACCTTCACATTATGCTCAAAAGTCGGTCTGTACCATGGATATCGGCCAGACTGGGGTCAGGCCCGATTCTGTCAACACATGGGTAGGTAGGCCTCACCTATGCTCTGCTGTTGTGAATAATTCAACTCAGCCGGAAGTTGCATGTTCATACATCGGAGAGACAAGAACGTAGGGTAATGGAACCCAGTTGGAAATCTTAAACCCAGATGAAGACCGATCAAACCAGCGAAGGTTTGTTGCGGGTGACGATTCACGTAGCCTGAGCGGAGGCAAACAAATATTGCATCAACTGCGGTCGACGATGCACACGAATATGATGTGCTTAAGCTTGTTTCTATCAAACCGAAAGAATACATCTATGTGAAAACTCTTGAATGTGCATGCGGTCTCGGGGTGGATTGAATTTCATCGCGTGGAAGAGAATATTGGATCCACATTACAGTACAAAACGTGTTAGAATTTGAACGTTCCAGCTAAACTAGGCTTTTTACATGTGTTTATTTAAGTTTAAACAATGTGCAAACGCCGATCGCTTCAAGCATTCTGATTCACATAACAGAGAGATGGTTACGTAATGTACCGACATGATACTAGTTAGTACGTTTCTCGGTGAATCAATGAACACTTTAACCAAAGAACTATTCACATTGTCAACAGTGCCTGGGGCCTGTGAAAAACCGAATGAGTTGATCAAAACATTTACCGTCCAAATTAACTGTGCCATTCCCATAAAGTGACAGGATCGTCGGCCGTGTAGCTTTGTGGGTAAGGGTTTAAAGTTCCCGACCAAAGGTTCGCGGTTCGAGTTCGGAAACGGGGACACAAAAACTGCTGGCAAGTCCCCAAAACAGGACGAAACGGCTGTCCAGTGCTCCTTGTGTGGGTCATTACAAGGATGTAAATCGCTTTCAAATGGCTTACATTGTGCTCATTCCACTGTTTCACAAACACACACACACACACACACACTTAGAGTGACTGAAAGATGATGTCTTGAAGCAGTTTTGAAGATCAGTTTGGTTCATCAAGCATAATTAATGTGTCGCTCGCTACACCAAACACCTTTTAATGTGATGAACGGTTTTTATATGATTTTAAAAAGAAATCCGCAGCGTGTATCCACTGAATTTCTTCAGATGCTATTCGCCAACGTCCCTGTTACGGCCGTTTCCCACGGGTATGGATGCACAGTTCACAAAGCCACGTTCGTATACATTTCACATCATGATTTTCAAAGCGAGGGTCGGTAAAAATAAAGCGAGTTGCCTATTAATGAACTTCTCTATATCGAGCATGCCTCGATGGAAGTGAATACATCCGTTCGAAAAGCGACAGTTTACTGATATCACGTCGCCTAGACTTAGTGCATAGCTCACACCATCAGTTGAGTTAAGGGACTAAACGGATAAATGTGATCTATTTATATTTGGATCACCTGACCAGAAAGAAGCACGTCGGCTTCATAGAATAATATGCAAGCTGTAATCCCCAGAAGGTGTATGAAGCGTTACTGTATGAGTTCAAATTCCGAGGATCTTTATACAATCCAAACATCATTGTCTCCTATAACCTTCCAAACTTCATATTTACTGATTATCGATCCAAAAAAAACAAATGATGTCATGGTATCTAGACTATTTCTTCTTATTGTATAACGTAGCATGACAAACATAGGAAAAGAACTAAGAAGTAGTACAGTTTCAGCCTAGGGTATCAGGTCCCGAAGCAAATAAATGACAGTAACTTCAAAAAAAACTGACTAACCACAAACACTGTATTCTTTCACACAAAAACAAACTTATACGGATAAACGTTCTGGAAGAAGGAATAATCATGAATATATGTATATATATATGAATGGAATCATTGCATTGATTCTTTAATGGACTGACTCTGAAAGAGCTGCCTATTCAATAGTCACCCGGTGTTGCAAACAAGATTATTGTGACGAAAATACACTTCCTGAGTACAAGTATATGAATGAACTGACAAAAGATTACCGGACATGCATGCCTAACGAGCGGCAAGAACCGCGAAACCGATCGTGTGCTTCCAAGGAAATTTTGTCGAGTCATTCACATTCTACTAATTATCAAATATATATATATATATGTGTATGTGTAGAATTGCGTAATCGCCGTTAACATGGAGAATGCCCCTTTGGAAAGGGGCAATTGACACGTGCCAGTTTTGTTTTACACTGATGCGACGAGAAGAATTTAGCACCACGTTCACTGAAAAACAATAAGTAAACAACTAAATTTACCCAATTTGACAGCTGAACTACAATACGAACGCTGTACGTGGTGCCGTCGCAACATCCGTCTGTCTATGAAGGGTCCAGTATATGCTGCTGTAGCAGTTCGGTCAGTACTGCTCTACGGTGCAGAAACTTGGCCATTACGGGAACAGGATAAAAATAGATTGTCGGTGTTCAAACACCGCTGTCTACGTCGCATTGCACGAGTCTGGTGGGGTAACCGGACGAGCAATGCTGAGGTTAGGTAGAATTTTAGGTAATCGCGGTCGTCTGCTGGAAGAAGTGATCAACCTGCATAGATTACGTTGGTTGGGGCATGTTTTACGCATGTCACCAAATAGGTTGCCAAGGCGAGCGTTGTTTGCCGAGGTAGGTAGCGGTAGGTGGTCGTCAAACGAAGACCTGGCATGAGGATATGAAAATCCTAACCAGGAGACTAGGCCACATAGTCCCCGTTAGACTTCCTGCCTGGGGAACTCGGGATGATGGTCACCGATGGCTAGATACACGGAGTGAAATGGCTGGATGTCGCAAACAGTGACGCTCATGCATCCACTCATTATTCCCCTCACACCATTCTACATGAATTTTCCATTTTCCTTTTGAGTTTACTTTCAACACTCCAATCTTCATTCTGCTCTTTCATCCAAATAGGGCAGCCAAAAGAGCAGCACACCAAAAAAACGGAAACTGAAACGTGATGCATGAATTCAGACGGCTGATAATTTTGTGATTAGGACAAAGCACCAAACTCAATGAGCTTTTACGCAACTGTTCGAGACCTAATTATACCTTGATGGCCACATTGGCTGATAGTATTCCAAAGGAAGCGAAAAAAGTATAACACACTCCAGTCCAACACATATCCCATAGTCCCCAATCAGTAAAACAAGGTAGAACCACATTCGGCGTGACTGGGCTTGTCTGTGAACTTTGCGCATCCAGACCGGAGATAGTTTTGATTTCATTCAGTCGATAGTCGAGTTATCACGAATCCGTCCTGAGGGGGACAGCCTGTCCTTTCCCGGGGGACAGTGTCACATTGGCTACACTCAGACACAGATATGGCCAGACGCAGACAGATAGATCACGAGGATGGCGGTGTGATCAGAAATGTGGTAGGATAGCCAAACAGATCGAACAGCATTATATGATGGATCACCAGACTGGGCTATGCACTTGAACCGATGTTACCTATTTGAATTTGCTGTCCCCCACATTCATAAATCTCAGTTACTTGACACTGAAAATGGTAAAATATCCGCCGCAAATGAGAAAATTACCAAACAATGTCCAGAATTAGAACGAGGAGTTTGATTTCTTAGACATTCAGATATCAGAGTCGGGAAAACTTGAACAAGATGTGTTGAGTGAAAAACGAAAGAACGAATAGATTGACTGCATGTCACGGAACAGACTGGACAGTAGCAGGTAGTAAGGAAAACACACTGGTAAAGTGAGTGGCAGAAATTGTGGTGAAATGGATCTATCTGAACGTGTGTCCGGGGTATGGACGAGGACGTTTTTCAATGATAAAAGTGTTTTTGTCGGACACCAAAGGATCTACTTTTGATTTTCCTTATTTGACATGATTGACCGGTTGAACGTATAATTCGATGGATTAGACGCGAGCTTCCAACAGAACTGAATGGTCTTCGATTCAGTTGGTGCAACCATTAACCATGCACTGCCGTGTGCCGGTTTTGTTTACTGTCTTTTGGCTGCCCATTTGGACAAAGGAGTCAAGGAAAGATAGGAAAGTTGAAAGTAGAGTCGGAGAGAAAATGGTAAATTTCAGCAGACTAAGGTGGCTAAGAAGTTGAAAAGATGCACGATGCATTATTAGTTATGACATAGAGCTATATCACTTAGTGTCTCTAATCACTGGTTACCACAATCTCGCGGGCCCTAACCAGGGAGCCCAACGAAACCTATGTGACCTAGTCCCCTGGTTAGGGTTTCATACCCAATTGTCAGGTTTTATTTTGAACACTCAAGGCTTTGATCTACCCACTACCTGCGTCGGTGAACATCGTGCGCCGAAACAACCTATTTGGTGACATACGTAACACACGCCCCAACCAATGTAATCTATGGAGGTCGACCACCTGCTCCAGTGGACGACGCGACTACCTAAAATTCTATGCCTAACCTCAGTATTGCTTGTCCGGTTGCCCCATCAGACTTGTGCGATGATGCGTACGCAGCGGTGTTCGAACACCGACAAGCTATTTCTATCCCGTTTCCTTAATGGCCATGTTTCTGCGCTGTATAGCAGAACGGGTCGAATAACCACAGCATACAATCGACCCCTCACGGACAACTGGATGTCGCGACGGCGCCACAGATGTCTCAAGTTGACAAATCCCAATCGAGCCTGCTGTATTCGAGCTGCCACTTCATCTGTGATGCGTCCACCGGATGGGATAAAACTACCCAATCCAATTCTAGCTGGATAACGAGACAATTACTCGTGCGATTTTCTGCATTCCGTTGACAAGAATAAGTAATACAAACACGATCATCGTTCATAACGGTTGCTAATCGAATGGCTTGATAACCAATCGGTGAACTTGGACAATTGAACTACTCAATATTCGACTGCTTTCCACACCAAATCGCATGATGATAAAGTAAAACAGACCACAGTCTGACAGAGTGCATATTACTATTCGTGATGTTGGTGTTGGCAACCGCATCCCGAGCTACAGTCAGTCATTCCACATTCCAATACCTTTCGTGATGGTTTTCACATGATCGTGGTGATTATCAAGTGCACCAGTCACAAGATGGTGATCGGATTACATCAGCTCGAAATAACACACCTGAGTGTGTCCTCACCCCGTGCCCCCCCCCCGCTCGCTCGCCCCGAAATCAATCATCTTGAGACAGATATGCTGCAGTCTGATTGGCTATTAAACCACACTATAATTAATTATCATATGATGAATTCGTCGGGCTTGAGCTGAAAAGCTCGGACAGCTGTTTTGACCTGGTTGGGTATCATCCACCAGTGCGCGAATCTATCAACCCAACTGGGGATCGAACCCGGGGACCTCGGAGGTAGAATGCAAGCATACTACCCACTCGGCCACCTCGGGGTAGCTCATCAGACCGTTTTCATTTGGAATACATACAATATAACCCAACCCATATTTGCGAGCTTGTTGCGGGTATCGCACCTAGCTCATCTCACTCAGTATTAGCCTACCCCACCCCCACCCCTCGTGGGTATGGACTCTGTTGGAAACTTTAACAACCTGACTGGCGCGTTGTTCACTCGGAAACCTCGAATTTCAAGTCTGCATGTACAAAACATTCAGAATCCCTGTTTTTCAAACTGGATTATGTTTGAATCCAAGCTTCATTCCGAAGTTCCAACACATTGCGCTAAGATGATGGTGGTTTAACTCAATAGCCCAGGCGGCAGCGAGCATAACCAAACAAAACTTATCAAAGGAGATAAGCGCCCATATTTCCCAGGCTCGAACAGCGTAAGCAGGACTTAAACACCTGTGGCGGCGACGTGATGTTTCATTGAAGTTGAAAAGTCGCGTATACTGCGCCACTGTACGATCAGTTCTGCTTTACGGATGTGAGACCTTGAAGTTGCGGGTAGAAGACATCTGTCGCCCAGTGGTTTTCGACAATCGATGCTTACGTAGTCTGACCCAAGTGAGATGGAGTGAGCGGGTTAGTAACCTAGAAGTAAGCCATCGGGTGTTTGGGAATGCATCGAACAAAAACTCGCTGTCGCATTGAATTCAGCTCAATAGGCTCCGTTGGTTAGGACACGTTTTGTGTATGTCCGACGGTCACCTACCGCAGCACGCCTTATTTGCAGTGGCTGTTGCAGACTGGAGAAAGCCATGTGGAGGCCAGCAGATGACGTGGAGATGAGGCATGAGGAAATGTACAGAGTGATTAGGTAGAGTAGGTGTTTCTCGTCTTCCGGTTTGGGGTTCGAAAGACTCCGAAACCGCATGGTTGGAGACATTGAAGTTCATGACTGCGAACTGACAGCAATGGCGAGCTTGCTGTCACTTCTTATCAGATCAGAATGCTTGAAAATGTATGTACGCACAGTTAACTGTGTACTCTGCGTGTGTGTTGACCATAGAGGTTCACTTTCTTTTCCCGTCCCTAAAATTAAATCCAATCCCAATCCCCGTTGTATATTCTCACCTATCTTGTATGCAATATGAGACCGACAGCGATCAGTGCTTCAGTTCGCTTCACTGCATTACGCTGTACAATGAAACACAACTCTTAACGGGGCGTGAGCTCAACACACACACACACACACAGAAATCGCAAGATCCGGGTGGACTTAACGCGCATCGCAGATGAAACGTGGTGCCATAGTGAGCGGGGTTCAGGCAAGCTATTCCATCATATTACCGATGAGAAAACACTCGATGTGAGGCGGGAATCTGCGAGGAGATCCGTCAGCAATATGCGAAGATGGGAGAATAAAGATTGCTAGAGAAGAGCGTGTCCTGTTCCCCAAAAATTGGCATCTAACCTAGTGCGAGGCCTTAGGGGGTTCACCACTCCAAGTCCCGGGGCTTAGGTTACAGGTTTCCACCACTGAACCGCAGCAGGTCCTCGTGACTATAGGGGGTTCGCCCCGTTTGCTGTTCATCACACGAAAGTGTGTAATAAAAGAAAAATACTGAGTAGGTTACTTCCTCCAAAACCGCCGCACGGAAGTGCATTGTTAATGGTTGTAAAAACTGAAACTGTCCCTATTTTCAGGGGTTTGTAGAGGAAACAGATATCTGCATTTACTCTCTGTGGTGATCAGCTAGAGACAGTCGAGAGTTCGGAGTAACTCGGGGGCTTGATCGTCGTTGGTGGTGTGGGAGAAAAGACCGCATAACGTATAAAGAAAGCTAGAGCAGTTTCAGCTAACCAGTCACACTCGCTCCGCCATGATCTCCAACTTGCCCTTAAAGGAAGGATGTCTGTCTCCGCGATAGCGAGACCTGACATCTGTGCAATGAGGATGCGAATCGATTTCCTGCATTAGACCATCAATATATTTGAAGCAATACGCTCGGTGGGTAAAGTGGGTGAGCAATGACGAGGCTCAATGTCACGCTTCTGGGGCTGACATTGATACTCTGGAGGAGGAAGTCGAATCGCTCTCTCCCCCGGTTCTCTGCGCACGTGCTAGACAAGATTGGAAGAACCGTCGTGGCGGTCAGTGCATGACCCATTGTTGAGCTATGAAGAAGTTAACGTGACCATTGGCTTCTGTTGGTGCAGTCCGCCTTCTAGATTGGGGCTCAAGAGAAGGATTTGGAATACTGAGAGACATAACTCAGAATGTGAGTCAGTGTAAAAATCCGTCAGTCGAAATCCTATGCCTTATAAAAAGACAAAAACAAGCATAGCACACACACGCAAAGCATACGGCGAAACAAAACGAAAAAAAGACATCGTTCTGTTCGCACTCTGACGATGAAGACCGTGTGTCAATTAGAAACCCGAAAGACCCTCTGGAAAAACAGAAACAAACCCAATTGTCTGGACTACGTGTCAATCAACGGGTAGTCTCAGATCGAGGATCTGTTTCAAGGTCCGAAGACAAGCAGAAAGATACCGTAAACGTGTGTGTGTGTGATTAGAACAAGGATCTGGGCACAGAAACAAAACGCCAAGCATCAGATTGTCATTCCTGCTATGTTATAATAATAATAATAATACCATTAGACTCCAAAGTGAACACGACATACTTATCTATTGTTGAATGTCATGGAAACAGACCAATGAAGAAATTAGAGAATTCAGTGAGAGAAATGAGGCAAACTACGGGAACGACCGAGCCCATCTGTCCAGACGGGTCGTTTTTTATTTTTTCTCGGTGGTACGAGGTACGCGTTTAAAGGTCACCTACCTGAAGCACACTGTCCAACAAACAATCTCCGGCCGTACGATTCCATAATGCGAATAGACGACTGGCTTGTTTTTGACCCGGTATGAACCACCAATTGATCGCTTTTGCATCCTCTTCCAATTCTGAAAGTGAAATAAGCAAGAGAGAGAGAGCGAGAGAGAGAAAGATTGATGCGAATGAGAATTAGAATCAACACAAAACGAAGCAAAATTCATGGTAAGAGCATGAAGAATAATGTAATTTCCTCCGCAATAGTAGCGAGAAACACATTGAATAATAAACACGTCACCGAATAGGCGGTACAATTACTATTGATTTTTCTCTTATTAGACACATTCATCTGATGAACAATAGACGGGAGGAACCCCACAGTCACAAAAACCTGCTGTTCAGTGATGGAAACTGGTAAACCAAGCCCCGCATGCCCTGGAGTGGTGAACCACAGAAGGTCCTGCTAGGTCAGGCGTGGTATTGAACCGGAAGACAGAAAAGCTGCCTGCACCACCAAAGTGGGGTGGCGGGGCTCGAACCTCGGACCATGGGGTTCAAACCACGCCGGTGACAGTGACTCCACTACCACTACCACCACCACCACCACCCAATCCCTTCCAGGCTCTATTAAACAAGCTCATGATATATGTATACAGTGTTCCCGATGACCGGAGTACGGAATGTAATTGAATCGGCAAATACACGATACAGTCAACAGATTAGAGAAAACCAGCATGTGGAGATCCATTGGATATAGTTGACCGATTTGGATTAAGGCAGCCGCCACACAATGCGCTTTGAGAGATCTATAATTGTGAATTATTTTTTTCACCTCAGTAGACCTTGAATGCGCTTGATAAACAGATGCGCCAACATCAATGCGTTTTACCTATTCCGCTCCTCTGTAGCGTTTCCCGGTCTTTTAAAACATTTCGTCGTGGTTTGACAATCATCAGTCGTGCATCATTAATCCCGATCGATTCATTAATCACAGAACTCATTGTTAGTCACTTTTGTGTTAAATTTGCCAATAAGATTCCATATGACCCTCTTCATCCACTGAACCCTGATCTATCATCTTGTCGTTCCCATCCGTCCACACGCTCCTTATCTCAGCATTTAAACTTTCGCATTAACATTCCGAAAATTTCCCCTGTACTTATTTGTTGCTGTATACCACAACTTATTTACAGTTAACCTTCCTCAGTGAAGGTATCCCTTCATACACAACCCGGGGACGCGCCTGGTAGCGTTCAGCTCTGCTTCACCAAAAATGAACAGGTCGCAGGTTTTGTACGTGAAAAAACAGTCTTTACCTTGTATGTTATATGAAACTGTATGTTTCACTACGTGTGACGAACAGTGTACATTTTTCACTGAAATGTAAGCATATAAGTTTACACAAGTTACACAAATACAAATAAATACACACAAAAGCAGCTCAATCGACGACTGTTAACGAACCGTAACCGAACACAATCAACCCGAACTGGGAAAAAAACCTGACTAAGTTGGACCGCTGAAATGATGATGTACCTCGATTGGAATCACAAAGTGTTGGTGAGACTGAAGTGAGTAAACCTGTTTCTTAGTGGTTTTACGCTAAGAACAACGTCGGTGAACAGACCGAGATAGATGATTT